GGTCAGAATACACTTCATCAATTGCCTCCTCACAGTCATGACTCGGGGGGCCTGCTTCAGCAGGCAGGAGCACTGCTGAGTTAAGTATTCATACAGTCTTGTGACATACTCAGGGATTTTCACATAACAGAGCCTGGTACTAGGCCATCTGAGAGTCAGCAAGCCATTTGTAACCCTTACTGTTCATTAGAGCAGTTACTGAGTGTGGCACTTTGACACTGATATTTTGTCCCATAGTTAATTTGTCAGCCTTCTTAAAGAGGAGGACTGTGGCTGCCAGGGCTCAGAGACATGGTGGCATCAAGCTTCTTGGAAAGGTAAGCAACTGGTCATTGCCATAGGCTAATGGATTGAGTCAGTACCCCTAGGGCAGTTTGATATTTTTTTTAAGAATTATTTATTTATTATCTTTTTTTTTTCTTTTTTTCAATTTTAACCAGAGACAGAGAGAGAGACCAAGCCACCAGGTCCAGGACTCAAACCATAGTCAGCCATATGGGAATCCAGTGCCTTTAAATGCCATGCCACCTGCCAGCCCCCAGTTTGATTTTTTTTTTTTTTTTTTACTTTACAGACAGATTGACTTCTCGGGTAATGTCAGGCAAGCTGAGGGCAGGATCACTGTTTGACTGGGCCTTGAGTTCCTGGAAAACAGTCTCCTGACTAGGGCCCCAGCTAATGGGGGCTATCTCAGGGCCCTTGAGCTCCTCCTATAGGGGCCAGGTTTTGTGTGCAAACTCTGGTATCCAGATCCAGCAGAATCCTACTGCCCCTAGAAACTCATGTAATTGTTTCTGGGATTCTGAATGCAGCAAAGAGCAAACAGCTTGCCTTCTCTCAGGCCCAGAGTTCAATGGCATATTGAGATGAGGAATTTGAGGTATTTAACCTCTCACTGGCATATCTAGACTTTCCTCTGGGAGACTCTATAACTAGCCGCAGTCAGTAGTGCTAGTAATTTTTAAGTCTCAGCCCAGCAGTCTGCTTTGTCGGGGCTTTCAGGCAGGATGTTGTCCACAACTGGAGTAAGACACAATTCAGCCTTCCCTGGAAAGGATTCCAGGTCGGCCACAAGGGCTTCCCCACAAAGAGTGGGCAAATTCTTGTAACCCCAGGGAAGTCTAATCCATCAGAGCTGGACTTTTCTTCTCAGGGTCTTCCCACTCGAATGCTAACAGTAGATGACTCACTGGTGTTACCCACAGGAAGAAGAAAATGTCTTTTAAATCCAGAAATGTGAACCAACAAGCCCAAGGAAGGAGCATGCTCAGAAAAGTATATGGATTCAGGACAGTCTGGTGAAAGATAACAGTTGCCTCATTAATGGCTTGGAGATCCTGCACTGGTCAAAAAATCCTTCTCATCAGACTTCAGACAGTTAAAATTGGAGTGTTCCAGGGGACTGACATTTCACTAGAATTCCAGATTTCCGTAGAAGTTCAATGTGATTCCTGATTCCCAACCAAGCTTTGCATGACATCAAATACTGCCATAGTCTGATGGGGTGGGCACTGGCATTGAGTTTGATGAGGACTGGCAGGTGATTTATTGCCAACCCAGGTGGATTGTTTTCTGCCCAGATAGTTGAAAACTCAGCCAATAAATTAGGTGGCACCAGGCATATTTCTTCCCTGTGGTTGTAGAGCTGCCTCTCTGTTTCTCTTGACACCGTCTCAGTCTGTATTTGTGCCATCCGATCGCCAAGGGTGAGCCTGGCAGACTTCCCAGGGGCAAAGGTAATTTGTACTCCCAGCTTTTTAAATAAGTCTCGCCCAACCAAGGGCATGGGACTGCTGGTAAATAAAGGAACTCATGGGACACCGTGTGTCCTCCTAACAGGCAAGTTCGAGCACCAAAGAAAGGCTGGTTCTCTGGGCTCCAGTGGTCCCAATGACTGTAGCTTTTCACTCAGATGGGAGGGGTGGGCAGAGTTTGGTCAGGACTGAGTCTTCTGCCCCTGTGTCCACAAGGAAAGTCAGTTGTTGGCTCCCCACAGTCATTTGGACCTTGTGTTCCTAGGGGCTCAAATTCAGGGAATCTAGTCTGTCTTACTAGGAGTCTGTCTTGGCTAAGCCCATGAAGCCCTGTGGGGTAGTGGAGGAGCATTCAGGGAAGTAAGTTGCTGACTTTGGCTCTGGAGCTTTGTGCTGGGGGTGTGGGCCTCTTTTGCACTTTGGGTATTCATTTTTTCCAGTGACCTGCTCTTTCCTGCCAATAAGAACACTGATCTTGCTGGAGTGACTGCCTTCCTGATCTTGAGGGGTCATTCCAGCCTTCTCCAGGGCAGCAGTCAGGAGGATGGCCTGTTGTTTCTTTTTTTTTTTTTTTTTTTTTTTTTAGAGAGGTTTTTTGCTATAGGGCGCATGTGCTCGCCAGACAGACAGAGAGAGACATAGACACCGAAAGCGAGAAATCACCCCCCAGGGGGGATGGTCACGCCACAATCCCTTCTCCTCCATTCTCCTCTCAGGATCTTGGGCACGCACGCACACGCGCCCGGCGTGAATTTTAAGCCACCGGGTCCGGGACGCGAACTGCGGTCGACTACGTGGGAGTCCAGCGACATAGCCATTACACTAACTGCTGGTTCCCTTGTTTCATTTTTTGATCTGCCTCTTTCTTCTGTTCTTGGTCATGGTTCACATAGACTCTGTTAGCCACCTCCAAAAGTTGTGTTGCATTAATTCAGTGAAACCTTCCAGGTTCTGCAAGTTTCAGTGGATGTCAGCTGCTGATTGGGCTACAAATGCTGCATTCACTATTGTTTGCTTTCTGCCCCTTCTGGATCCAAGTTGTTTATATTCCGAAGGCCTCACAGAGCCTTTCATAAAATTTGGCTGGGTACTCTTCAGCCTTTTGGGTCACTGTAGTTATTTTGGTCATGTTGGTTGGCTTTTTAGCTCCCACCCTTACCCCATGGAGTAGCGTCGCATGGTACTAGTCAAGGTTGGCCTGCCCTGACTCAGAATTACAGTCCCATATGGCTTGTTGTCTTGAGTGGCTGTCCTGGTCTGCCCCTTAGAGTCGAAAGTGCTGGCTGGGTCATGGTCCTAGAGTCATTTCCAGGTTTCAATAATAACTCAGCAGCATTCTTCTGTATTAAAGAGGGTCAGTGGGAGTTGATGGCAGTTGTCCTGGGTTGACTGATGGGTCTGGAAAATAGAATCTAGGAGACCAATTAGAACCTGGTGTTTTTCTGAGTAGGGTGGAATATGGTGTTTCCAATTTAGAAGCTCTGTAGTGGTGAGGGTCGATAATAAAAGATGGTCCTTCTCTCCTCAATTGTCCCATCGAGTCCCACTTGTTGGGATCTGTGTGTTTCCCAGAGCTATAATTGGAGGTCAGGAGCAGGTCTTCTTTGGGTGGAACTGAGTCTTTAGTCCCTTGGCTTTGGACTTGGAGGTTGCAGGCCAGCAGGGGATTCAGGAGGAGGTGAAGAGTATGATTCAGGAGGAGATGAGGATGGTGAGGCCGATGCTAATGGGATTTCAGGTGCCAGTGGTGGTAAAGGCACTGTGGGAATATATGGTGGAGGCACGGGATCTTCTTCAAGGTCACCCTAGAAAATGGGGGCAGCTTCTCTCTTTGGACAGGGGAGCACCAAGCACTGTGCAACCAGGACCTTATATCATCCCTTGCTGGTTGCACAGAATTGGGCCCATGGGAGCAGGGCCAGGCTACCTGCAATCACGAGTTGATGTAGGGGAACTGATCTGGGTAGCCAGGACCTCCAGTCACTAACCGATAAATTGCCCACATGGCAGGCAACTGGAGAGTTCCCTCTGAGGGCCATCCTTCATTGAAGCCAGGCCACTCCAGCTCACAGAGGGTGTGGAGCTTTGCTAGGGTTATTTTGATCCCATAGTCTCTGGGGAATCCTTTCTTGAGTTTCTGAGCATGCAGTTGAGGATGATGGGCTTGGATTGTGATTTTCCCACGGTGGAAGTAGCATGTTATGGTAAACTCAGCAGCAACATGGGATGGTTGGCCTGGCCTGGTTTTGTTTTTGTTTTAGGATTTACAGATACTTCCACTTGTCAAATACAGAGATCTTCCAGACAGCTCTAGAAACTGCTGGTTCTAAAAGATGAGTCAGGGTCAAGCTTACCAGAGGCACCGTAGTCTCTGGTGTTTTTCAGAATTTATACCAGGTCTAGTAGATGTTCTGACAGTGGAGTTGGCAAGCAGAAAGGATGGGGATAATGCACAAGGATGACTGGGGTCGGGCACCTTCTCATGAGTATGGAGAATGCCTAGAGGAGGCCAACCAGCTTAGGGGCGAAGTCTTCCTGGTACTGAAACCAGACTTCTTTGGCCTTGGTTGGAATGACCAGCCAATAGCAAAAGAGGTAGAGAGTCAAGAGGTCTTTAAACTCTGACTTTAAGAGGAGATGTGGATATTGGAGCCAGTGAGCTTCTTGTCAGAACAGATATTTCTCAGATGGCAGATGAGGTAGGTGGCTGAGAATGGCTATTACTGCTGAGCCTATTTCTTTATTGGTGAGCCTTTCGAAGAGGGGGCCTAATGCTCTGGAGCACAGGGGCCTGCCAGACATTTAGAGTTGGATTTCCAATCCAGAGTTGCTCACCCTGTGTTCGTGACGCTGACAAAGGATGGATTCCTCTGAAGAGGTGACCACTAGGTGTCCATCTGGCCATATCCCTGGGTGCCTCTTCGGCAGCTTGTTATAAACCCCCAGGTAGGACTGGGCATGCAGGGAGGGATGGAATCCCCCAGTGCCCAATACTGCCCTTAGTCTCGTGAGGTCACCACGACCAGCAGTTTAGGACTCAAACAGATTCCATAGCTGGAAGCCATGGAGCCACACAAACAGACACACTCACATTTATACACCTTTCATTCCAGAAGTCAGAAACAGTGCCTCCCCCCCTTTGAAAGATGTCTATCTGGTGGTCCTCTGACCACTGGAGGGTGATCAGATTTCTTCTTCTGCCATACTTGGGAGGCCTAACTGGATCTGATGCCCCCAGGGACTTACCAGGTCCTGAAGGGCCTTCTTGTGAGTTGGTCTGTCTCTCCTTTCGAAACCAGTCGAGGAACTGGCTCTCGTGGGGTGTCAGGGCCACTCCTGGGCAAAGGTGATTACAAAAAAGAGCCAGGTGGCTCTACCTCATTCTGTCCTGGGATCCGTCTGCCCCAGAAGTTTCCCTCCACCGACCCACTGGCTCAAGGGGCCAGCTGGGTTGGCTTCCCAGTCAGGGAACCAGAAATGACTGCAGAAACATATTGACAAGAAACCAATGCCACTTGGAGAGTAGGAGTACGCGGGTTTAATATTATGGCAGACCCAGATGTGTTCAGACTCCAAGCTCTAGGTCCCAATTTGGGGTACGGTAAAAGGTTACGTTGGTTCCTGACAGGGACAGTAAACACAATAAACACGTGGGATGGGTGAGGATGGTGCAGGGGAAAGGCTCCAATAGCTACAGATCAGAAGGAATTAAAATGTAGCTATTTCCTTGTCCTTGAAGGATGACAACCTCCCCTCCTTAGCTAAACTTGAGCTGCTGAACAGCCCCCCTCATTAGCTACCCTTCAGTTGCTGAGCTGTGTTGCTTATTTTCTATCTGGCAGGTGGCCTGCCTGGCCATTTCCTGTCTCAAAATAGTTCTGATGCAAAGAAAAGATCTCTGCAGTGACTAGAAAAGAAACAGGGGTTCAATAGCTGACTTGCTTAACTGGAAGGAAAGGATATTTCAGTTGATAGGCTAACAGGGAAGACAGCTATTTGTGATGGTATTTGATGGTTCTGCCTACATCTGTCAGAGCCCCACATTTTTGGTAAATCTCAATAAATGGGGTGTTTTATGACTTCAAGAGGCAGAGAGGAGCCAAGCAGCTTTGACTGTCCCTTTATTCTAAGATGCTAATCTACATACATTGCCAACGTTCCTAGTATAAAATAAAACTTAACTTGACCATTGAAAACTTAATTTCTCTGTGTCTTGGTTTGTTATTTTATAAAATAGAAATACTAAGTAACTACCTCATCAGGTAATTAGGAAAATTAAATGTCTCTTAATATTTACAATGGATTTAACATTGTGCTTTGTACAAAGTAAAGGTTACATAATTATTGCTTTAAAAAAACTTAGGATCTGAGAAAGGCGAGGAATTGGAATTCTAAATGAAAGTGAAAGACTAGCTTTGGAGGGAAACAGTGTCTCTTATTGAAAATGGTGTGTGTGTTAAGCACTTGTGGGGCTTGAAGGGTGAGTCAGGCAAGAAAAATCAAAAGCTGCTCTGAGATATTGCAGCTCAGAATTTCGAATCAAACTGCCAGGGTTTAAACCACCTAGTTCAAATCACTTACTGTCTGGGAGACTTGGAAAAAGCAAAGTAGTTCCCTAGGCATCAACCACCTTATTCATATTTTAGATAAAACATTATTTCCTGCCCAATATATTATCATATGTTCTAGTAACACATACTCCTTCAATTACTACTTTTTAATTTCTAGGATTAATGTGTAACTTCTACAATGAACACACAAAGCCACATGTGTCACTATATTCTTTAAGACACAAATTACCAAGAAATACCTAAGGTACAAAAAAATTTTAATAGAAATAACATCAAGTCGATTGATTCTATGATGTACACTGTACCCCTTAATATTTACAACTGCTATGAGTCTAGGATAAAATAAAACTTTAAAAACACATATATCAACACACTCTTCCTAGGAAGGTCTCTCCTTTTTCACTGGTTAGTGGAGCAGCGCTGGTGCGTGGAGGGGACGTGAGCCTTTTACTGTGTGATCAGAGTAGGAGGAAGAGAATATATTTTTAGGATTAATATTAAAAAGTATGGAGAAGTTGAGAACCAGCAGTTAGCGTAATGGCTATGTTGCTGGACTCCCACGTAGTCAATTGCGGTTCGTGTCCTGGACCTGGTGGCTTAAAACTCATGCCGGGCGTGTGTGCGTGCATGCCCAAGATCCCGAGAGGAGAATGGAGGAGAAGGGATTGCGGCGTGGCCATCCCCCCTGGGGGGTGATTTCTCGCTTTCTGTCTCTATGTCTCTCTCTGTCTGTCTGGCGAGCGCACACACCCTATAGCGAAAACCTCTTCAAAAAAAAAAAAAAAAAGTATGGAGAAGTGTTCTGGGTTGAACTGAATTCCTCCCACATTGATGTGACTGCGTTTGAAAATCGGGTTTTTGACCAGATTAAGGTTAAAAAAAAAAAGTTATGCGAGTGGATCCTAATACACGGCAATGGATGTCCTTATGAGGAGACGAAACTGCAAACAGGCACAGAGAGAAGAACATAGAGAGAAAGACTGGGGGAGACAGCCAGGCACAAGGAGAGTCTCAGGAGGAACAGCCATGCCCATGTGTTGGTCCTGGATGTCCAGTTTCTAACTACAAGGAAAGGCCTTTCTGCTGCTGGGAAGCCATCTCGTCTGGTACTTGGTGAAGACTCCCTGACAAACCAGACAGGGGGACATGAGCTGAAAAGTGTTGGCTGGTTTGTTTTCTTTTTTTTAATTTCAAGTTCTTTTATGCATTCATCATGTTATTTAGCTTGCAAACTGAATATTCCAACATGTGTACATTTCTCCCTAGTCCAGTTGATAATATTATAAAGTTGTCTTCAACAGGTAATACCCCATTTCTTTGTCCCAGTAGTGCTTTCCCTCTATTTTTCTTCTAAATGTCCTTCCTCAGACTCTAAGCCAAGAGGCGTTAGCTCTGTATTTAACAAGTAGAATGGGTCCTAATACATCCTGCAGATGATCAACGGTTTCCAAAAGTTACTGGTCATGACAGTCATCCCTAGTGACAACTGGGTATGCCCCGTCTTCCTGAGTCTGAAATGTCACAGGTCACTCACTGTAGTTCTTGTGTGGATCACACAGTTAGAAACAGTGCAGGAGGACTGGAAATTTCTAACAGTTCATAAAGGAGATGAGACTGAATTATCCCTTATAAAAACCACATAATATCTACAGATATTAAATACAAATAATATAAAAATGAGCAAGAGAAAATCTTTCAGCATTAAAATTGTGAGACTTAATCTGAAATTCCATCTCTGTTTCTCCATTGTGGCAGGGGAAACTTATAAGGAGTAGGGCAGAAAGTGGTAGGAGGTACTCCTACCCAGAGCCTCTGTCCCTTAAAGGGATTTCAGCCCCTTGTCCACTGAGGAGCGTGGAGTGTGCTGCTCTGCACCCCATGCAGGGCTTTTTGCTACAGCCCTAGAGGTTGCTTGGGGACAAGCAGATAACCAGGGACACAGTGCGTCCTGCTGCCTCGCAGCCCCCTGGGGTGGGGTGGGGGGCACACACCACAGGGAGCCCAAAGCCCTGCAGATCTCCAGGCTCTGGGTTAATGTGCCGTCAAGCCTTTCTCTGCCTCCAGGTCCTCTCAGGGTGCAATCTGAGCTTGGGATCTGTTGTGGCTATTAGTCAGTCAGTTAGAAGTGGGAGGGGAGCATAGCTCAGAACTCACCTGGCTTGGGTGCTGCTGCCAGGGGAAAAGTGCTCAGTGGCCTAGGTAATGCCTGGCGCTCTCCTCCTGCCTCGGGCTCCTCAGGAACTCAGTGCTCTTAGAAGCTGAAAATCAGTCCGGAGATGACAGCAAGGTTGTCTGTTATAAGTTGAGGAGAACCGAAAATGAAAGTGCACTTCTTTCTTGCCAAGTTAACTGTAGAGGTTTTGCACTGCTTCTGAGAAGGCAGGAAAACAGACTTTGTGAGATGAGGAGGGAGGAAGGGCCCCCTGGCCCTGCACACGGTCTGGTAGCCTGGAGGCTGCTTCCCCTAACAGTGGGCTTGGGGGACCTTGGCCTCACAATTAAAGTTGAGCAGCAAGTGGGAATGCAAGCAAAGCAGTGGGAGGCTGCCAGTGCTTCCACAGCCTGTCTGGAGGGACCTTTGTCTGGGAAGGGTGTTGTTTGTTTTTAATTTTTTTTGTGCTCATTTATTTTCTGTTTATAAAAATATTTTATTATTTAGCATAACATTTAGATGTTTTAATAATATCCAAAACCGCTAATATAGCCTAAAGGCCCAATAGAGGGAAGTACACTAGGAACCAGTCAGGATCCTTTGGAGCCAGCGAGGCAGGCTGCCTGGGAAGGGGTGACAGCTCCCTTGTGGCCAGCATGCTAGACTCCATTCCACAGGTTCATAGAGACTGTGAGGGTCCTTAGGCAGCCTCCCAGCTGTGCCTTAGATCAATTGGGATCCAATGGCAGGAAAAGAGAGCCAGATTAAAGTAGGGTGCTGGAGTAAGGAGGTTGTTCAAGTGTGGACACAGGTTGCAGTGCTACCCTCTGGGTTTGTGTAGACGCTGTCTCCAAGGATCAGTGAGGGACTTTGGTTCCTTCCACTTATTATGTATCCACGAAGGCATTACTCAATTCTGGAAGGTCAAAGCTTGACTCTTGCCTCATCTGTGATGCAGTCAGTAGGGAGACAAAAGAGGGAACGTGGAGAAGAATCAAGTTCTCTGCCCAGACTCCCAAGTGCCTTCCACAATGTTCTGCCCCTGTTTTATGTTCAACTTCAGTGGCACAGTCACACTAGCTGGAAGAACAGCTAAAGAGGTATCTTCTCCAGCTGGGTTGCCATGAACCCAGCTTTAAAGCTAGAATGATACGGGACCAGCAGTTAGTGTAATGGCTATGTTACTGAACTCATATGTAGCCAATCACGTTTTGAGTCCTGGACCCAGTGGCTTAAACTCATAATGGGCACATGTGTGTGCATGTCCAAGATCCTGAGAGGAGAACGGAGGAGAAGGGATTGCAGCCTGGCCATCCTCCCTGGGGGGTAATTTCTCGCTTTCTATCTCTCTGTCTTTCTGATGAGGCCCTATAGCCAAAAAACAAACAAACAAACAAACAAAAAAGGCAAAAAAAAAAAAAAACGAAACAAAACAAAACAAAACTAGAATGATATGACTTTCGCGTTCTTTTCAAAGTTGACCTTGTAACTGGGTGTTGTAGCTACTCGCCCCTATACCGAACTGGCGAGTCTTCGGTGTTGACCATTCCTGGGCATCTGCAGAGATGGTGAGAGCAGGAGCTGCAGGTCAAAGCTTAAAAGTAATGGATGGAGTCTTGAAATGAATTAGTGGAGATGGCAGTAGACTTCGAAGAAAGTCCTGTGAATACCATCATCTTAAGATGTAGAGTGTAAGGATCTTTGCAATACGATTTCTGTGAATGGTGCAATCTCTTGTCCTTAGATTCCGAGGCTCAGAAAGGATCCTCCATTAGACACTGGTGGCTGCCCTGGACGTGGGCCCAGGGTAGAATTCCTCTCATGCATGTACCTCCTGGCGATACCTATGGGGCTGTAGCACAGTGGGATTGCTGCTGCCCTCCCCAAAAGAATCAGCTAACAGTTCTTGGGCCTTCATCTTCAAACACAGCCAAAGAATTCCAGTGACTGAGATTATCCCTGGAAACCTCTGATAGTAAAATTACAGTCTAACTGGGAACATTCAGAACTCCAGTGTAGGTGAGCAAGGTGTATAAGCTCGAGTACTGGCAGGTGGGCAGTGGTTATACATTAAAATTAAGTATTGGGTTGTCAGAAAAGTCATGATGCATTTTTGCAACAGATGGTGCTAGTTAATTTTTAGAACTAGAATTATTTAGTTTAGTATCTAACATCTATGTTGTTGTTATATCATTTGTCAGCTAAATTCTTTAAAAATTGAGCAATTTGGTTGAGTTTTGGAGATTTTCCAAGTTGAAGATGGAAGACCAAGCTCTGCATTTTCACCATATTTTACTGTTTTACTTCTGTAAAAGGAAGAGTGACACCCCAGCCTGCCCCTGTACCCAGTCAAGCTGTATCACTGGACCTACAAATACAGTCCGAACCATAAAGGTAATCGCAGATAGTGCCCATATTCCTTTAAGCTGAAAAAAATTTACAGTGACCACACTACTGACAGCAACTAGAACCAAAGTCAAAGAACACTCCCAAGTAATACTGCAGGGTAAATCTACAAAGAATGGGTCCTTTCTACAAAAGCTATCCCACGAAAGAGGACCGGAAAGAGGACCACATGACCGGAAATCAACACAGGACCACAAGAAACCAGGAAGACAGGAAATGTAACATCTCCAACGAGCACAGTAATTCTTCAGTATCAGACTACAAAGAAAAGAACCCTTACAGATCTCTCCTCACCCATCCCAGTCTCACCCAGAACAGAGACCTTTCAGAGCTGGGAAGAGGAGCCTCGATAGGAAGGTCGGGAGTGCTTCCCCTCTCTCCTGCCTTTGCTGCACTGCTCTCTCCTGCTTTCGCTGAACTTTGGGCTTTTCCTTATCTCTCTAATGTCCTGGGGCTTTCCAGATTTCTTCAGAGACCTGACGTAATGTCAGGCAGTTAAAGAACAGAACAGCCTCTGCAAAGAAATAGCCTAATATGAAACTGAAAGTAGTGAAGTTAAGGACATCGCTCCACATCTATAAAAGGAATCACTGCCCTTGCCGGGATTTGACATGATTTCCCAGCAAGAACTTCTCCGTTGCTGTAAACAATCTCAGGGACCGCTAACTAAACGAGAAAGGCTTCATGAATCCTTTTCAAATAATGTCATTGATCTCACGTTTGGGAGCCAGTTTCAAGAGTATAAAAATGTGAAAACCTCACATAATATAGATTTTAGGACCATTTCTTGAATATTAGACTCATTCTCAGTGCTTCTGTTTAATAGTGCTTAGTAAGTGGGAACTGTAAGTGTTCTGAGGGACCGTCCTTGTCTTAGACACATTTGAATTCTGTGTTATTAATTTTCAAGTATTGGGAGGTTTCTTTGGAGCTGAAGTTTGGGTGTACACAAACTATTTAAACAAATTAACATCTTATTCTTAGACTTTTAAGTTTGTGGAAAATAATTACTCTGCTGTTTTTGGTCCTTCACCTCACTCGGATTCCTTCCTTACAAACAGCTTTAATTTAATGCCAACATATTCATGTTGACTTTTCATATTTCTCTTGCTGGTCACGTGTGTGGGGAGATGTGATGGGGAAGCAGAGATTTCCTCGTCACTGGAAGCTTTAGGCCTGGCCTTTCAGACGTGCAGTATTTTGAGCATTCCTCTGATGGATGCCCACGGTTCTTTGGGAATTGGTTAAACTGCAGGGCTTTTCCTGACAGTTGAGAAAGTGGAACACCACTAAACATTACTTTGAAATCTTGAAAAAAGGAAGCTAAACTCATACCTTGTTGGACAGAAGGAAAAGCAAGAGTGATTACACTGTTGTTGTCCAATGGCTCTATGCACCGTGTGCAGATTCTTCCATTGGGTCAGCCTGCGGGTGTTATTTTCAGTAAGATTAAAAAAAATTTTAAATTTACATTTAATCACATATCTTTATAGTGTACAAAAGTGCTTTTTTCAGCAGTTTTTTTCCAGCACGGATACCATGCATATCAGTCAAGACAAAGACATTACTATATACATTGTCATCAGCAAATAGCTTTTCATTTTTTTGTCAGTTAAATGTGTTCTTTTCCTTCCCGTTCCCCTCCCTCCCTGTAACCCACTTCCATATTACCCGTATCCTTACTGATTCTAGCATCTACAGTTGCCCTCCTGCTACTGTACTTTCCAAACATTTAGTTTCTGCTATAGAGCACAGATAATTGGTATACATTGAGTGGGGACATACAAAGTCTGTCTTTCAGAGTCTAGCTTGCTTCACTTTGAATCAAGTCTTTCCCATTCCTCCACTTTGTAACAAATAAATGTCAGAGTCTCATTGTTTTCTATGGCTGAGTAATATTCCATACACATGCCACATTTTTTCAATCCAATCATCTACTTTTGGACATTTGGATTGATTCCATATCTTAGCAATTATAAATAATGCTGCAACAAACATAGATATGCAAGTGTTTTTCTGACTCAGAGTTTTTATCCTTTGGGTAAATACCGAAGAGTGGAATAGTGGAATTATCAGATCATGTGGTAGTTCTATTTGTAGGTTTCTGAGGAAGTTCCATATTGGTCTCCAAAGTGGCTGTACTAATTTGCATTCCCACCAACAGTGTAAGAGAGTTCCCTTATCACCACAGCCTCCCTAACACCTATCGTTATTTATTTATTTTTTAATTTTAGCCATTCTGACTGTGATTAAGTGGTATCTCATTGTCATTTTGATTTGTATTTCCCTTATCATAAGAGATGTGGAGCGTGTTGTCATATGCTTTGGGCCCTTCATATGTCTTCTTTGGAGAATTTCCTCTTCTGCTCATTTTCCTATCTTTTTTTTTTTTTTGGTGGGTAAGCTGCATGAGTTCCCTGTATATCTGTATATTCCAGTTATCAGTCCCTTATCTGAGGGATAGTCTGCAAATATATTCTCCCACTCTGAAGATTGTCTTCTCACTCTACTTATTGTTTCCTTTGCTGTGCAGAAGCTTCTTAGCTTAATATAGTCCCATTTGTCTGTTTTGGAGACTATTGCCTGTGCTTTTGGAGATCATCTTTAAGAAGTCATTGCCTACTCCAAGGTCTCCAAGAGTTTTTCCTGTGTTTTCCACCGGTATTTTTATACTTTGAGATTTTATGTTTAGATCCTTAATCCATTTTGAGTTCATTTTTGTTAGTGGTGAGCAATAAGAACCCAGTTTTAGTCTTTTGCAGATGGATATCCAGTTCTTCCAGTACAATTTGCTGAAGAGATTTTCTTTTATCCCACAGGGTTATCTTGTGTCCTTTGTCAAGGATCAGTTGGCTGTATGTTTTGAAGTTTATTTGGGGCCTCAATTCTATTCCATTAATCTATCTGTCTGTTTTTGTGCCAATACCATGCTGTTTTAATTATCACAGATTTGTAATATGTTTTGAGATTGGAAAGTTAGATGCCTCCTACTTTATTCCCCTTGCATAGTATTGTTTTGGCCATATGGGGCCTTTTATGATTCCAGACAAATTTTATGATTTTTTTTTCTGTTTTGCTGACACTATCTCTGGTATTTTGATTAGAATTGCATTAAATTTGTAGATTAATTTGGGTAGTATTGACATCTTGATTATTTTAGTTCTTCCAATTCACAAACATGGGAATTTTTTGTGTGTGTGTGTATCATTTTAAATTTCTTTCTCTAGTGTCTCATAGTTTTCCTTGTAAGCTCTTTGACATCTTTGGTAAGGTTTATTCCTAGATAGCTATTAGTTTTGTTGTTATTGTAAATGGGATTTTTTCCCCTTCAATTTTGCATCAATTTGTCCATTGTTAGTGTATAAAAATGGTATAGATTTTGTATGTTGATTTAGTATCCTGCCACTTTACTATATTAATTCCTCACTTCCAGAAGGATTTTTAAAAATGATTCTTTTGGATTTTCTATGTATAGCATCATATCATCTGCAAAAAGAGATAATTTTGCTACTTCTTTTCCTATTTGGATGTCTTTTATTAACTCTCTTGTCTTACTGCATTGACTAGGACTTCCAGTACTATGCTAAAAAGGAGTGGAGAAAGTGGGGCAACCTTGTCTTGGCCAGTTTTTAGTGGAAAAGCTTTTAGCTTTTCCCCAGTCAGTATGATGTTTGCTATAGGTTTTCATAGATGGCTTTTGTTGTGTTGAGAAACATCTCTTCTATGCCCATTTTGCTGAGAGTCTTAATCATGAAGGGATGTAGTATTTTATTGAATATTTTTTCTGCATTGATTGATATGATCTGATTGCTATGATCACTTGGTTTTTATCTTTCCTTTTGTTAATGTAATGGATTACATTTATGGTTTTGTATATGTTGAACCATCCTTGCATCCCTGAAATAGAGCCTATTTGATCGTGGTGTAATGTTTTTAATATGTTATTGAATACGACTTGCTAGTATCTTGTTGAGAATTTTTGCATCTGTATTCATCAGAGATATTGGCCTGAAGTTTTTTCTTCTTGTTTTTTGTTTTGTTTTGTTTTATTTTTCCATGTCCTTGTCTGGTTTTGGAATTAAGATGATGGAGGCTTCATTTGGGAGGTTCCTTCTTTTTGAATATTTGGAAATAGTTTAAGGAGAATTGGGGGTTAGTTCCTATTTTAAGGTTTTGTAGCATTCAGAAGTAAAGCCATCGGGACGTAGCTCTTCTTTCTTGGTAGATTGTCTATTAGTGATTCCATCTCATTGTTTTTTTATGGATCCATTCAGGCTTTCTCTTTGTAAGTTAGACTTGTCCAGAAATTTGTCCATCTCATCTAGGTTTTCTTGTTTGTTGCCATATAGCTGTTCATAGTAGTCTCTTACGATGTTTTGTATTTCTATTATATTCGTTGTAACAGCACCTGTTTCCTTGCTGATTGATTTATCTGGCTCCTTTCTCTGTTTCTAATTATTCTAGCTAATGATGTGTTTATTTTATTTATCTTCTCAAAGAATCAGCTTTTGGTTTCATTTGTTTCTATATATTTCTTTTATTCTCTATTTCATTTATTTCTGCTCAGATATTTATTTCTTTTGTTCTGGAATTTGTTGTTTTTGTTGTTGCTGATGTTGTTTTACCAGTTCGTTGAGTTGTGTTGTTAGGTGGTTTGTTTGCCACCTTTCTATTTTTTTCTTTTGGACACTAATTGCTATGAATTTCTCTCTTACAACTGTGTTTGCTGTGTCCCACAGGTTATAAACACTTATTTGTTTGTTATCATTGGTTTATATGAACCTTTTGATTTCAGTCTTAAATTTTTCTATAGTTATAAAGTTATTGTAGAGTAAGTTGTTTTTTTTCCATGTGTCTGAATTTTTGAGGGCTTTTTTCTGTAGTTTATTTCAAGTTTGATTCCATCATGGTCGAAAAGATGCTGGATATAGTTGCTATGCATTTGAATTTGTAAATGCTTGTTTTGTGCCCTATTATGTGGTCAATCTTCTAAAAGGTTCCATGTGGGGGGAGGGGTGAGAAAAATGTATATTTTGTAGTAGTTGCAGGAAATACTCTGTAAATGTCTGTCAAGTCCATTTCATGTATGGAATCATTTTGATCTTGGATCCCTTTGTTTATTTTTTGTCTAGATGATCTGTCCAGAGGAGACAGTGGGGTGTTGAGATCCCCTACAATTATTGTGTTGCAGTCTGTCTCTCCCTTAGGATCTTACAGTCTCTCTTTGATGTATTTAGGTGCTCCAGAGTTGGGTGCATAGATATTTACAAGTGTTAAATCTTCTTGGTGAACAAGTCATTTTAGTGCTATATAAATGTCCTGTTTTTCTCTTCTTAAAATTTTCATCCTAAAGCCTATTTTGTCTAATACCAGTATTGCAGCTCCAGTCTTATTTTGGTTCCTATTTGCATGGAATATCTTCTTT